TGCGTGTGTGTGTTGTGGATACTGAAGTCAACACCAAGCGGCGCTAGTTTATTTTTATGCTTCAACGACCTAAAGTTTGCGTTCAAGTATGAAACAGACTGTTGCAGCTTGATGTTGACCTCAATGTCCACTTTTATATTTACATAGGCTATATCTCTTATATTGTCCACTTCTAACCATAAATATAACATATTTTTAATTTATATATATATATATATATATGTGTGTGTGTGTGTGTGTATGTGTCTGTGTATTTTATCACTCTATATTTACAGTCGTTAAAATAAATCTCCAATACACGTTACAATTATTGATTCCATTATTTCCCTATGTCTTTAGTATTTACGTCAATATAACACCTCATATATTTCCTGGATTTACAATAGTAAATATATGTAATGATTTCAACATTGCACTTATATAAACAGTTTTTGTTCACAACAACAATCTCTAGTCGCTTTCCGTAAGTTGCCGTTAACTTTGGACATTGTTTTGCTCGTTTTATAGACCATTCTGTATGAGAAATCTTCAGTTCATCCAAATTACTAGGAAGACACTAATTTCTAATCTAATTCAGGTTAGCAAACTGTCTGCACAACTTCAATAGGATGATTCTCTGACTACTTATATTCTAAAATTTGATTGAATTAGCTCTTCGTTTCGGGCCGTTACCCTGCTTAAATACCAAATTGTTAAACCTCGACTGAGATTCTTATTCATTATATCTGGGTATACAGCTCAATTCATAGCTCCTTCAGTTATGTAGAGTCGTCCTGTATGATGTAAGGAAAAATAGACCCATATCACTATATTGCTGCATCTATGCTCCACAGTTGCGATGGTGTTCTCTGGTTTGAATTCCTTGTTCCTCTTCCTTCAAAGTAGATTATATAAAATGTCAAATAACGTATCTTGGTCTCATGAGAACAAAGTTTTCCAGTTGGTATTTGGCTTACATGAATGTCACTTTGAAAACTAAGTACTGGCCTTCATGTGTTCTTTTTTAATAAGTTCACCACAAGCAAGGCAGCTATGAAATTAGTACGCGGGGCGTTATAGGGAGTGAAAGTAAGAGAAAAGACTGAGTATAGGGAACATTGAAGAAAGCACAAAGTGAACGGGATTCAAGAAGATAGAAGATGGCGACTGACATTGCATTTTCATTTTTGAAGATTGTAATTATCAGGGAAGCAAGTAAACGGATAGGAGTTCCACAGGTAAGAAAAGAAACAAATAATTTCATAATTACATTCATGTAAGACATATCTTCAAATTCTGCAAAAAAAAAAAAAGAAAAAAGAAAAAAAAGACTATTGCCAAGTTTGACAATAAAGATACAGAATTAAAAGAATGGCCAGAGTCTCTCCAGTCCAATGGAAATTTGTCCACCATTGAAAGCAATGAAGAGGAGTTGAGCAAATTAACGGAAATACCTTCTTAAATGGAGGTTTTATTATTTCATAGGTTACTGGTTACGTTGCGTTATTTAGAGTCAATCACTGCTTACGTCAAGTAATTGACTTATACATGTTCTGAACGGTTGTTAGGGGAATTCTCAGCTATAAGTAAAACCTGTATGAGCTCTTTCAGTGACGATGGAAGAATGAAGCAGGTCCTCGCTTGCGTTCCAAAATTTACCATAAATATTTGATTGTATCGATTGTTTAGCGCCAATTCAAGTCGTCTGCTTCCCTTCTGAGCTTTTTGTACCAATTTGGAATAGAATTAGTCGATTGAAGATTGCATATCGGGGAAATATTTTTACTCGAAAATGGATGATCAACCGACAATAGCAGACGTTAACTCTGCCATGCAAAATACTATTGGGCTACGATAATTTCAAGCTATGACTGACTAAATCATGAAGAACCACCTCCCTGATTCAAGTTGCGGTCAAAACAGTCAGGTTTGAAGGCTTCTTCAGACCCAAAGTGAGAAAAACCGTGATTGGCAATGGTGAATGACATTCGTCAGGGAAGATGACATAGTTTCATTGCTTCTTTGACTAATTCTGACACCATTTTCCGCTTATCAATGTGAATAGGGGATAGGAGAGGCTTAGACGTTACAGCCATCAAGTTCATTAGACCCACAGCGAACCTTTTTTATTAACACAGTGTTGGCAAATTTTCGTTCTTCTAGCACTTTTGCTGCTGTAGTTCAATGGATTTTAGGAACGATTCGTTTAATGATTTTACTATCTCCCTTTCAGAATCATGCTGTCAAAGCTGGTTTTACATTACATTTCAAATGCCAAGGTAATTTCAGAGATTTTACCTCTTAAACATTTCAGCAGTCTTAGTGACTGAAATCCGAGCTATCCATGTTCTAACAATTTGTACTCATTGGCAATCGGATAGGTCACACACTTCAACCTGTTTAAATATAAATATATGCAAAAATGTAAAACAATGGTGATATCACGAAATACAATACATACAAAGATGCATATGGACACGTATATAGAGACTAAAATTATTTTGAATTTGCGTTATGACCAATCGAATGATAGTTAAATAAGAAGAGGTATTTCTCTTATTTTGTCCAATGCCTGCATATGAGAATAGAAAACATTACTGAAGCATAGACGTCTCGTAAACGGTAAAACCTGATGCAAATAATATTATATTCAAAAGAGTATAAATTTGACAAAATCAATGGTTGAGAAAAATGATTACTCTCATAGAATGTTAAAAAACCAATATTAACATTTAAAATAATAAAATTATAATTTAGTTATGTATCATTGAATAATAGATTTCCGCTCAGACTGGGGAATCGGAGAGCCGAGTTCGAATTCCACTCGAGATCATTGTATTTACTTACGTGCTAATCTTCTTGGGAAATGTATAAATCCACCTTTTCCCACCCCCAGTTATTGGTAAATAGCAGGACAAACTGGATTCTATAGCGTTGGGTCAACGTGAAGCAAAACTCTGAATTCAAACCTGCCTGGAGAGACGCACCACGGCTGTATGTGGTGACTCTACGACTCGAAAGATGATTGTGAAGTCCGTCATGTATGTGAGGTATTGTGATAAATAAAATGTTGTCCGTAGACTACATCTCACTGATTTAGCAGTTTCAATGAAACAAAACATTTCATTTTGTTTTGCACCTCCCAAATAAATTGTTGTCAGTCATTTTAACGAGTAAAGATATAAGCTAAAACATACACGAAATACTTCTAATATAGCCAGTTATAATTCCGAAAGTTTTACCAACATCTTTTGTTTAATATCAATTTTATTATGAAAATATTGTAAAATAAAATCTGACATAGTGTACACAGAACAAAAACTCACCAAATTTTAAATCTGCTGATATAACCTGTTGTTATTTTATTATAGTGGAAAACAAATAAGATATTTCCCTTCACAAACTACAGACCTAATTCTTTTGAAGTCGTCAATTGATCTAAGTCCCTCCTTCCAAAAGGAAATGTTGTTTCCATTGTCTTGGTCTGATGGAGACTTACTATTAGGGGAAATCTATTTCTGTATTGCCTTCTTCACAGACAATTCTCTCAAGACTTGAGATAAAAAGTTCAGATCAACTCGAGCTTAAAATGTAAAACCGGGCTTGTTCAAGGAAAAAAGGAGAGCTTTAGATATTGAGCTCACTAAATGGTTTCATCTATTTGCCAAACAGTTGACTGGATCAACAGCACATAAAGAATTCTCATGCTCAACGATAAATGCGTGAAATCTTTTAGGATCCTCTCCATATTTTCCAGGCAGTTAAATTATCGATTTTTACACTTTTTCTTTTATTAACGGCCACCATTTCCCATCGACAATTCAATGTAAGATTAACAAATACTAGTTGATAAAGAAGATGTTTCTAAACGCTTCACCTCTACTCATTAATATCTCATCGTCGCCCCATGACATTTTCCTATTTTTTTCAATGTTTTCTTAATTCACTTATCTGGTATAATTTCTCTATTTATATATTTTACACATTTTTGAATGACTGAGCATTTTAAGATCTTTGTTAAAGATTCCTTCAATAGAATATAAATAAAATAAATATCAATAACATTTCTGTTTACTTGTTTGTTGGTTGGTTTTGTTACACTAAAACAGTTATATAATCTTAATTTATATATACCCGGATTCGAGTCAATCAGGTAAGTGGCATGCTTCTGATGTTGAAGTGTTCACATCTGTTAAAAAAAAAACTTACGAACAAGTACAAAAATTTAAATATCAAGGAAGAGTTTTAACAGAGGACAGAAAATGCGACACCGAAATCCAACGGCACATTTGAAAAGCAGAAATTGCCTTCCGAAAAAAATAGAAAAGTATTAGGAAACAAAAGTTTCGTTAGAAACAAAGAAAACAGTACTGAACTGTTATGTAACATCAGTCATTCTATATAGGAATGGATGTTGGTCAATCTCCTCGCTGTCAAAGAAGAGACTTGAAGGAACAGAAATGTAGTTCTACAGAAGAATGGTGAGAATGCAATGAACAGAACATATGAGCAGCGACCAAATTTTAGAAAAATAAAGAAACAGAAACAAACATCGCCACGAAAGAATTGAATTTTTTAGGAACCAGAGGGAACTCTTTTTAAACTCACAGGAGATATTGAAGGCAAAAGTGGCAGATGAAAGCAATGCATATTACCTTACCTAATAAACTTGTGTAAACTGTTAGCAGAACAAGGATTAGTAGAGATAGTAAAAAGGCTAAATCTAGGATAGGAAGTTGAACAGATACGGTGTATAGAAGTATTAATCTAAGTTTCCATTTCGTCTTTAGCGTTCGTAACTATTTAAAAAGAGTTACTTCTATAAATTCCTTTCCCAGAAATATCCGTTAAGCATCATTAAAACAAAGAAAACTGAATTTAATATTATAAATTACACTTTATTTTTACAAGTCAGTCGGTTGATTAAGATTATTTCATATGAACTTAAATTAATCTGCTCTAAAACAAAGGTTTATTAAAGAATATCTTTTGTGATGAATAATTCTTAAGCAATTGGTTTTACAGTCATATCACATTGAAACACTAGTTTTCATCCGATCACGGAAGTCATGCAACGTTGTGCCTGGTCAGTACCTAGATAGGTAACCTCTCGGGAATATCAGTTGCTGGAAGTCTGGATGTGCGGGCGTAATGCATAACGGCTCGGAAATTGGAAATCACAGAGCCGTGTTCGAACTCCAGTCGGGTTCGTTATATTTACTTACCTGTAAATATCCTTGTTATATAGGAATAAAGTGTCGCTGCCGACACTGGAGTTTGAACACAGATCACCAGAGTGCAAACACAGGCGATCCCATTTTAAATTAAGTAGATCACGTGATCATAAAGGAAACGCATAAATAGGAAGTAACGTGACTAAACGATAACTATTTCTACACTATCCTCTATTACTATTTTCTGTACTGTTCACTATATTATTCTCTATACTCATAACTATGCCGATCACTACATGGATTACTATTCCGTGGTTACTTTTTGAGCGAGTTTTATCGAGCAAGTACTATTAATGCGAGTGTTATTCGAAGGCGTCTGACATCAGTATTGTTCAACGGCGTTACTATAGTTGTATCTGCGATTACAAAGTCTCTACTAGAACGAGCATCACGAAAGTGACAACGAGTATTCTTTGACATCACAAAAGTGCCGACGTGGATTCCTTGAAATTACTCGAGGATTCGTTCAAATTACACGAGGAAAAATTAATCTGCAAAATATTCAGCAGAGTACAGAAAAAAAGCAACAACAAGAACACAAGTTACAGCAACAAAAACTACGACAAGAACAAGGAAAGTGTTTGAAATTTTTGGGTGAATTTAGCTGGTAACGTTTCTTTTATGGGAAAAACCAAAAAAAAAAAAAAAGCGGTGGTATTTGTATTAAAGAATACTGTCAATTTGTATGGAACAGACTGGGTTGAATTGGTTGGATTGGACTTTCCAATTAACTCTTTTTGCAACAAGATAAATATTGTTACCGCCGGTACTAATACGGCAACTGAAAAATTGAAAAATGATCTGAAAAGGAGTTGTCCAGAAGTTTTCTCAGAAGGTCTAGAGACATGCACGAAAGCAAAAGCTAAGTTTGACTTAAAAGACAATATAACAGCGACATTTAAGCTAAAAAGGGGTGTGCTTTTTGCTGCCTTAGAACCAATTAATAATGAATTAGACAGACTAGAAAATTAGGTGTAATTTCAAAAATATCTATTCCAAATGTGCATCACCGACAGTTTGCGTTAAAAAAAAAAGAAATAATAAAATCCACGTACCTGCTGATTTTTCAACGGAGTTAAATGAAAGTTTAAATCAACATAAGTACCCGTTACTAAGTCCAGAGGAAAATTTTTGCTAAATTGAATGGAGGTAATTCTTTTCTAAATTGGACCTGTCAGACGCTTATCTACAAGTACTAGTGGAAGAAAACTGCTCAAAACTATAAACAGTTAACACTCATAGACTGTTATACAAATTTAACCGACTTCCTTTCCGTATAAAGGTAGCACCAAACATATTTCAACAGATCAGGGATACCATGCTTGCCGGTTTGGATTATGCACAAGGATATTTGGATGCTGTATATATTAAATGTAAGACCCGAAAGCAACACGCAGAAGATATAGAAAAAGTATTCGAGAGAATCAAAGAATATGGTTTTAAGATTAGTGAAGGAAAATGTGAATTGTTTATGTCAAGACTTAAACATCTGGGACAAATTATTGGTGTAATCGGTAGAACGAAGGATCCATCAGGGGCGAGCGCGACAAAGGACATACCCACTCTAACAAACGTAACAAAGTTACAAGAATTTTTTTGTGGGGTTGCTAACTACTATCCTATATATATATATATATATATATATATATATATATATATATATATATATATAAGATGTGAAATGGAATCGAACAGATAAATGTCAAAGTGCTATCCAAGAGATCAAAGTCTTAACAACGGATTTTTCACTAGCTCATTTGAACCCTAAATTAATGATCATGGTTGCATCAATTGCAAGTGATTCTGATATTGGAGCAGTGATACCACACAAATATGAGGACAGAACAACTAAACCAATAACTCATGCTTCAAGATCATTAATTACACCTGAACAAAGCTATAGCTAGATTGAAAAGGAAGCATTGGCCATCGTATTCGCCATGAAAATGTTCACAAATTCATACATGGTAGAGAATTCATACTACGGACCATTGTCCATTATTGTCCATATATGGATCAGAAAAGGGTGTTCCCACACATACAGCAAATAGACTGCAGCGCTGGGGAATTAACCTATTGAATTATAATTATAAAATGGAGTTGCTATAAACCAAAAAATTAAGTCATGCAGACGGATTGTCTAGACAAATAACAAGATTCTGCGAATCACTTGAAGATACAGTAATTGTGGCGATAAGGGCTGAAAATGAAATTAATAACGTATTATATAATACTGCAAGAGAACTGCCCATATCATTGGAGGAAATAAAAATTAATGTAGAAAAGGCTGACTTTATAATGAAAAATGAAGGAAAAATTAACATCTAAAGGAAAACATATTACTGTTTATAATGCATTCTCGTTATATAATAATGTACTTTGTACTCAGAAATAATTTTAATACCAGCATCATTGCAAAATCGTATGTTCAATGTATTTCACATAGAACATCCAGAAATTTCCAGAATGAAATCCTTAATGAGGTGTTACACTTATTGGCTAAAAATGGATCTAGATATCGAAAATTTAGTGAAATCCTGCAGAGGTCGTGCTCTGGCAACGAAGTCACCGTCTATCAAAATTCAACCTTGGCCGAAAACCGATATGCCATGGTCCAGAATACATATAAATTTCGCATGACCGTTAAACAAGGCATACTGTCTAGTGGTAGTCGATAGTTACACTAAATGGCCAGAAATATTAAAATGTAGAAGACTGACTACCGCAGTAACGATAAATTTCTTACACGAACTTTTTGCAAGGTTCGGTGTTCCTGACTTTATCGTTTCAGATAACGGGACTCAATTCACGTCTAGTGAATTTAAGTTATTTTTTTTTTTTTTGCAAATCATTAGCAATAGAACATATTACAACTCCCCCTTATCACCCAAGATCAAATGGAGAAGCGGAACGGTTTGTCGATATGTTTAAAAGGGCACTAAATATGTTGGAGGGAGCAATTTCTGAGTGTTTACAGAATAACATCAAACCTGAATACCGTGTCTGGAATGTCTCCTGTAGAGTTGATGTTCGCCAGGAAGATTAAGTCAGTTTTCAATAAATTATTTCCAGAACATAAGGAGAGAGCATCAAGAAATGACAATATAAGTAAATACTTCATACCTGGATCGGCAAAATGACATGAAAGATACAGGGACAAAGGTAGGAACATAATAGACACCTTAATCAGTTAAAAACATTCACTGATTTAAAAAGTTCCTGAAAAGAAATACCAATAGAAATTCTGTATGACACGTTTAACGTACCAACGCCATCAGAAAGTGTTGAACCAAGGCTTAATGTTAAAAGAAAAAGAATGCCAAAAGAATTTATAACTATTGAAGTGAATCTGAAGACGTATAGACTCCAGGTAAAGTCAGTCTCAAAGGGGAGGTGTTATATAAGAATGAAGTGTTGCTGCCGACACTGGAGTTTGAACACAGATCACCAGAGAACAAACTCGAGTAATTCTATTCTTGAATCAAGTGTAGCACGTGACCACAGAGAAAACGCATAAATAGGAAGTAGCGTGACGTCTAAACTATCACTATTTCTATACTATTCTCTATTACTATAATATTTCAATATAGTGATCACTATACGGACCACTACACGGATTACTATTCGGTGGTTACTTTTCAAGCGAGTATTTTCGAGCAAGTGCTATTAGTGCAAGTGTTATTCGAAGGTGTCTGTCACCAGTATTGTTCAACGACGTTACTATAGTTGTATCTGCGATTTCAAAGTCTCTACTACAACGCGCATTACAAAAGTACGTGTATTCATTGACACTACAAAAGTGTCAACGAGTGTTCCTTGATATCACAAAAATCCTAGCGAAAGGTATGAACTCATGTTTTCTCCTCCCAGCTATGGGTTAATTAATGTGACTTGTAACAGAAAATTCTGAAAAAAATCTTAGTCCAAAAATATATTTCGTTTTGAAATAATAAAAAGCGTGATAAGCCGTAAAAACAATAAACCAATCAATTATGTGCTTCAAATAAATATCAATTTCATTTCTTCGGAAAATTATTTTTAAATTGCTTGAGATGAGTTCAAATTATAATGCAAGTAAAAAGCTAGACCTTCTTTGTACGCATTCTTATGTCGGACGTGACCCTTTATTCGTTAGTCAGCTACAACCATAATTTTAAAATACGGAATGCCCAAAACATAAAATACAAAATTACATTTTCTTTATCTTTTGGTTCACTTAGTGTAAATATGGACTCTCACTCTCAAAGCCTATCACTAATCCTATGTTATTAACTCGATTATTGTAACTATTTGAGGTTTTCGTACTGTAAAATTACAGGCATACCTGCGTAAGTACATGCAAAAAGTCAGATTCCAGTTCTCTATCAGACATACAGTTTTAATCGACCCCCCTTTTGGAGTTCTTTAGCATTGTCTGGGCAAAGATTCTAGTAGAATAACAATTACAGATTCAAAAATAGTCGGAAGAAAGATGGGATCCGTCATATTATCTTGCCACAAGTATGACATACAAGTGCAAGCCTAAAGGTCTTAATTGTGTCACGGGATTTGTGACACTTGCTCCCATTATAAATCATAAATTTTCTTGAAACCGAATAAAAGAAATGACGAAAACGAAACATTAAAATAAACATTTACACTCTTTACATTGTTCGGACTGTTGTTCTCATGTTTATTCTCCTATTCACGACGTTGTACGCTCCGGCCTCCTTCCACGTTGGAATTTGCTTCGGTTCGAAATTCCAACCTATACCACCTGAATATGACAATAAAGATGAGGACAACAGTCCGAACAATGTAAATAGTGTAAAAAGTTACAATACCTCATTTAAGAAATATAGAGAGATGTTAAAATAAACATAATAATTAAATAATATTCTTTGAACATTTAAAAAATA